GGGTTCAAACCCAGCCCTGGCCCAAAAAAACAAACAAACAAAAAAAAACTGCAACAATACACAGCCAGTTTTGACCAGCTCATTTTCTGATTATTTGAGTTTTAAAACTGAGACTCCTTCTCCAGAGAATAAGTGACTTTACAAGATCACAGCAATCTGGATGGAATTGGGAGACCTAGTGAAGTACTTCAAGAATGGAAAAACAAACACCACAGGTGCTCACCATTAAATTAGAACTAACCAATCAGCACTCATATGCACAACAGAAACCAAGCAGGGGAGAGGGGAGAGAAAACGATGTGTGAAATCACACCTAATGGGCACAATGTACACTATCTGGGTATAAGACACCCTTACAACTTTGACTCAAGCAGTACAAAAACAATCCATGTAACCAAAACATTTGTATTCCTATAATATTCCAAAATAAAATAGGCACATAGAATAGAGAACCCAGAAATAAAACCATAAACCATATACTTACAATCATCTGATCTTTGACAAAAGAGACACACACTGGGGAAAGAACACCATTTCAACAAATGGTGCTGGGAAAATTGCATGATCATATGCCAAAGAATGAAACTGGCTCCCTAACTCTCACCATGTATACAAATCAACTCAAGATGGATTAAAGACTTAAACATAAGACCTGAAACTATAAAAATCCTAGAAGCAAACCTAGGGAAAGCTCTTTGGACATTGGTCTAGGCAAAGGTATTGTGACCAAGACCTCAAAATTCCAGGCAACAAAAACAAAAATAGACAAACTAAAAAGCTTCTGCATAGTGAAAGAAATAGTCAAAGAATTCATAGACCCTGTAGGTTGGAAGAACCTAAGTATTTGCAAACTATCCATCCAAGGAACTCAACAACAATAAATAATTCCATTAAAAAGTAGGCAAAGAACATAAATAGATATTTTTCAAAAGAAGATGTAAAAGTGGCCAACAGATGTATATGAAAAGATGCTCAATATCACTAATCAGAGAAATGCAAATTTTTTTTTTTTTTTTGACAGAGCCTCACGCTATCCCCCTGGGTAGAGTGCCATGGCATCACGCTCACAGCAACCTCCAACTCCTGGGCTCAAGCGAGTCTCCTGCCTCAGCCTCCCAAGTAGCTGGGACTACAGGCACCTGCCACAGCGCCTGGCTATTTTTTGGTTGCAGCCATCATTGTTGTTTGGCAGGCCCGGGCTGGGGATTCGAACCCACCACCTTAGGTGTATGTGGCTGGCGCCTTAGCCGCTTGAGCCACAGGCGCCGAGCCAGAAATGCAAATTAAAACCACAACAAGATATCATCTTAGTCAGAATGGTTACCACTAAAAAGACAAAAATTGGCGGGCACAGTGCTCATGACTGTAAAATTGCACACTAGGAGGTCAAGGCATACGGATTGCTTGCCTCAGGAGTTCAAGACCAGAGTGAGCAAGAGGGAGACCCCTTGTCTGCACTAAAAACAGAAAAATTAGCCAGGCATTGTGGTGGGCACCTGTAGTCCCTGCTGCTCCAGAGCCTAAGGCAAGAGGATTTCCTGAACCCAGAAGTTTGAGGTTGCTGTTAGCTAGGCTGACACCACAGCACTCTAGGCTGGGCAACATAGCAAGACTCTGTCAAAAAATAAAATAAAATTACAAGTAATAAAAAAGTGAATAAATGTCAGGCATGGCAGCTCACACCTGTAATCCTAGCACTCTGGGAGGCTGAGGCAGGTGGACTGCCTGAGCTCACAAGTTCAAGACCAAGTTAAGCAAGAGCCATCTCTAAAAATAGCTGATCATTGTGGTTGGTGCCTGAGTCCCACCCCCAGCTACTTAGGAGGCTGAGGCAAGAGGATCACTTGAGCCCAAGAGTTTGAGGTTGCTGTGAGCTAAGATGCCACAGGACTCTAAGATGGGTGACCAGGTGAGACCCTGTCTCATAAAAAAAAAAAAAAGCTAATAGAATTTGGAACATTAGGTACAGCTTGGTTAAATTTTGAGATATTATTTACTTTTGTATTCTCACATTACATGTTTCTGAGGTCACAGCTGTCATTCAAATACCAGTAATTTGCTTAAGACTCATTTTTAGTTCATGTTATTTCTGAATTAACTTATTTAGTGTAAATTTAAAGCCCACAACAAAGCAAGCATTTTTACAATGTTACACTTCTCTTTGTATGTGAGCCTGATTAAAATAAAGGGGAAAGGAGGAAACCACTGCTGAAGATCAACAAAGCTTAAAGAAATGTTTTAAAAATTCCTTAACAACATCTGTGTAACAAAACATTCATGCAAAGGGAACCATTACATTAAGATTTCATGGAAAGAGAAACATGATATAAATATATAGAGATTAGTAACTCAAACATATTTTGCAGCCACTTAAATATTTGGTGAAATAAGTAAAATTAGCAGAAAAATTTTAAAAAGCCAACTCACCCTTTCTGTGAGAATTACAATTGGTGAAAATGCAGAGTTTATGAAATTATGAACATCAATTTGAAATAAATATTTCATAATCTGAAACTCGAGAGCATCTTCTGTTGATTGATAAATAAAAATATGTTAGCATATTTTATAGCTTCTGAACCTAAGTAATTCTTTAATTGATGCATTAAAGAACAAATAACCTATTTCTTACCTTCTTGAGGCATGTAACTTTGAGTAGACAAAGAGTTAGCAGTTGAAACCATTTGACTCTTCAGCAAGGAATTTTCCACAGATCTATCTATTTCCACCTGAGCAGGACCTTCAGTGTCTACTGATGGTTTTGATTTTTCATAATTATTTATAGAAGACGAGGTTTTGAAATGTACTTCTTCATGAATTCTCATGGCTGACTCTATCTTAGAAACCATATCTGCAAATAAAGAGAAGTGTAACTTTGTAAAAATACTTGCTTTGTTGTGGGCTTTCTTTTTATTTTCTAGCAGGTTGTTTTTTGAACCTTTGTGGTCACTGTGGCACTTCATTACAGAAAGAATGCATTAAAACATAATTATAGCCTGTACTGGTTCCTGTTGTTGATGTAATAAGTTACCACAAATTTAGAGGCTTAAACAATTCATATGTATTGTCTTAGAGTTCTCAGGTCAGAAATCCTAAAACCAAGGTGTTAGCAGGGCTGCATTCATTCTGGAGATCTAGGGGATAATCCATTCCTGGCCTTTCTACTTTCTGGAGGCCTCCTGCATTCCTTGGCTCATGGCCCCATTTTCCATTTTCAAAGCCTGCAGTGCAGCATCTTCTAATCCTTCTCTCTCTCTCAAATTCTTACCTTCCTTTTATAAAGAACTTTGCAATTATACTAGGCCCATAAAAATAATATATAAGAGCATACTTATATGGTCTGGGGATTAAGAAATGGACATCTTTGAGATGTCTTAATTAAGCCTACCACATAGTCATTCTTTATTCTTTGACCAAGGAAGAAATTTTTTAAGAAAACAGTATATAAGCCTATTCTCTACATTGTCATTTTGTCCTAAAAATTATTTGTAAAAAATCTGACATAATTGTCAACAATTCTGTTGCACTGTTTATAAGAATAAGATGATAGGCTCAGCGCCCGTGCACCAGCCACATGCACCAGGGTTGGTGGGTTCAAATCCAGCCAGGGCTTGCTAAAACAACAATAACAACAAAAATAGCTGGGCATTCTGGTGGGCGCCTGTAGTCGTAGCTACTTGGGAGGCTGAGGCAAGAGAATCACTTAATCCCAAGAGTTTGAGGTTGCTGTGAGGGTGACATAGTGAAACTTGGTTTCAAAAAAAAAGAAGAAGACAATAGCTGGGTGTGGTGGCTTACACCTGTAATCCTAGCACTTTGGGAGGCTGAGGTGGGAGGATCACTTGAGCTCACAGGTTTGAGACCAGGCTGAACAAGAATGAGATCCTGTCTCTACTAAAAATGAAAAACTGATGCAAGAGGATTGCCTGAGCCCAAGAGTTTGAGGAGTTGCTGTGAGCTAAGATGTCACAGCACTCTACCAATGTTGCAAGCACTTCCAGTCCGTTCCCCGACCCGCTTTCCCCCACCCTTTCCCGTTCCTCCACTCTCTTTCCCAGCCTGTTCTCATGCCCTCCAGAGTCGAAGCATAGGAAGTCCCAAGTTTCACAAAACCCCCCCAAGTTCTCAGTGGAAGAACAATGGTGGAAATCCACCAAGGCTGTATTAATCATGGTTACATACTATAACTATTGTGATTTGAGATATATCCATTGTCAACCAAGGCTGTATTAATCATGGTTACATACTATAACTATTGTGATTTGAGATATATCCATTGTCAACCAAGGCTGTATTAATCATTGTTACATAATTGTAACCATTGGTGTATCCATGACTACCCAAGCTGTAACCCCCACCCAACCAGCCATGTTTTGCTTCTGTAGTATGCTTGCAAAAAACATTATATAAGGCAGCTTGCCCATTAATGGGATGGAACTGTCTCTCAAGACAGTCCCCTGCGCAGATTCAATAAATTTCTGATTGATTGCACTTAAGGGGGGTCTGACTCTATATTTTCAGGTCTAGGAGTATCACACCAAGAGCAACAAAGTGAGACACTCTCTCAAAAATGAATGATCTAAAAAGATTGATCGTTTTAACCACTTCGGTAATATCAGAAAATAGGGCTTGTGGCTTTATATGAATCCCTTTTTTAGGATTCATTTATTAAAACAAATTTATGCATTATACCAAGTTAACTTTAATGAAAGTTCTCTAACAGTCTAGGTCTCCAATATTTTTAGTAATTATAATGTTTTGGCATAGCCCACATTATTTACATATGATGTGTCTTTTTTGGTGAAACTTAAAAGAATATCTGCATATTTTCATAAGTCTCTCAAAAATAGATATAATTGCATGAATAACCTATTTTCCTTTAATTATTTACTAAATTTAGAAATTTTCCCAGAATCACTATGTGAAATATATATAAATATATATGTATATATATATATAAAAAATCTTTTTTTTTTTGAGACAGAGTCTACCATGTCGCCCTTGGTAGAGTGCTGTGACATCACAGTTCACAGCAACCTCAAACTCTTGGGCTTAAGCAATTCTCTTGCCTCAGCCTCCCAAGTAGCTGGAACTATAGGTGCCTGCCACAACACCCGGCTATTTTTTTGTTGCAGTTGTTTAGCTGGCCCAGGCCAGGTTCAAACCTGCCACCCTCGGTGCATGTGGCTGGTACTGTAACCACTGTGCTATGGGTGCCAAGCCAAAATATATATTTTTTTAAAGACAGGCTCTCGTGAAGTTGCTGTCTTGCCCAGGTGGTGTGCAGTGGCTGTTCACAGATGTGACCACAGTACACCACAACCTTGACCTTCAGGGCTCAAGCAATCCTCCTACCTAACTAAGCTCCCAAATACCTGGGACTACAGGCACATACCACTGTGCCAGTGATATAAAATTTCCTAATATGGTTTTCAGAATGCCCAGGAGTTTCTATAATTATGCTCTAAAATATTTCTATACATCGATATTTTGAATCTTCTGGACCGAACATTGTTTCATTTTATTTTGTTGTAGAATTATCTTCTTCGTGATTACTGTGATCGGCTTTGTCACAAATATTCCTTTAGGATCTAACAAGTTTAGAACAAGAAAATTTTTCTTTTAATTAGCCCTTGACAGTCTAGGTCTCTAATGTTTTTAGTTATAAAAAGCATCATACCTGCACCTTTCTAAAATTGGGAAAGGGTTAGAATCTGAATATCTATATGCTGGTTGAGAATGTTCATGAAGTAGAGAGCTCACATTTTGGGAAATATTAAAAGTATTACATATATTTCTAGAAAATAGGAAAATCAGCTGGTTCTAATGGAAACGTGTTTTCATCCAGGCTTGCAACCTTACTGGCCTCTTGCCATGAAGGGTTTCTGTTATTCCAGGGTTTAATTGCTTCTGTATTGCTGGCAAATATTTGCTGAGTTTCTACTCTGTTCATCAGAGAGACAGCAGGATGGATATGTAGGAAAGTCATATTACATAATTCTCTATTTAAAATACAATCCACGTGTTTTTAATGATAGGAGCTGCTCGACACTCAGGCATCTAGACGTTTCCTCTTGTACTCTGCTCTATTCTGTTGTCCTCTGTTGAACTCCCAGAACTGAGAGACTGGAGTCAGAAAGTCGAAAAATTTTACCTTATTTTTGCTTGAGTTTTCTTATCACTTTGCACAGTTAAAGAAAGCCCGTATTGGCTCGGCGCCTGTGGCTCAGTGGCTAGGGCGCCAGCCATGTACACTGGAGCTGGCGGTTCAAACCCTGCCTGGGCCTGCCAAACAACAACAACAACTACAACAAAAAAATAGCTGGGTGTTGTGGTGGGCACCTGTAGTCCCAGCTACTTGGGAGGCTGAGGCAAAAGAATTGCTTAAGCCCAAGAGTGTGAGCTGTGATTGATGCCACTGCACTCTACTGACGGTGACATAATGAGACTGTGTCTCAAAAAAAAAAAAGCCCATTGTTCTCCTTAGGAAAAACAAAACAAAGCAAAACTACTGACTTAGAATAAAGTATAATTTAAGAATCAAGACTGGTTTTGAATTATTGACATTTTCCTTAGTTTAGGTTTCTAAGAAAACCAAATATAGTTGTGTTAAAAAGGTGTCAATGAGCTAAGAAGTGAGTGTGAATCTACCAGAATAGGAAGTCAGTAGATATCATCTAAAACAGATGAATCAAAGCAGAACAATGTAAAAATTCTATTCTGAAAACTAAAGATCAAGGGCAGCGCCCGTGGCTCAAAGGAGTAGGGTGCCAGCCCCATATGCTGGAGGTGGCGGGTTCAAACCCAGCCCCAGCCAAAAACAGCAAAAAAAAAAAAAGGTAAAGATCAGTACTAAAAAGATTTGCTCTGGAAACAAAAACAAAGAAAAGTATTGTTTCTGGTACAGAGGGGAGAATAAAGGAAGACAGAAGGAACAGAAATTGATTTTTTTCCCAGTAAATCTTAGATTTTTTATTGTTAACATCTATGAATGGTAAAAATCATTTAGCCTTTGAATTTGATTCTAATAAATGTTCAATATGATACTTTTACTAAAATATTACATTTTATCAATTATGTTTTTTAGTTTTATACTTACACTTGCTAAGTTATTCTGAAATCCATCT